TTGATGTTTTCATTGTTCAAAAGCCACAATAATTATTTTAAAAACCTGAAAAATAATTATTTCAAAATGCAAAATTAATTAAAATTATTTAATAATAATAGCACACTAATTCACTATACTACTGTAGATCATCTGGAGCAGCATTATTCAATTTATAATGAACAAATGTAGCAGCTGCATGAGATGCAAAATCCTTCCAACCTCTGTATCCATCTTTCTTCCCATCAGCCCAATCCCCAACCGCTTTAATGACAATAGCTTCTACTTTATGATGAACATGTCTAGCAGCATGAAGTATAGCAGCACCTTCCATTTCACCAGCAAGAGCATCAGGACGTACTTCTCTTAATTCTTTTTTAAACTTTGGATCATCGACCAAAACAGGAGAAGAAGCAATGGGACCACAATGAACTTCGACCTCTTTGGCATTTTCTCTATCAGAATGCTTTATTTTAAATTTAGAAGTGTCCCCAAAAAAGGGGAAAAGAGTGGTTCCTGCTGAAGGTTGAGGTTTACGAGCTGTGATATTCTCTGGTTCCTTACGAAAGTTAGATAAGTCCACAATGAAGTCAGAAACAATTACGTCACCAAGGTTTACTTTGCTTCGATCCATCCCAAAGCAGATTCCAACTGCAATTATATACCTTGGTTTGTATATCTCCATTATTTTATTTGTGATTGTCAAAGCATCTAAACCACCTTGTTGACCTTTAGCATATGCACTCCTTCCAACCACAGCTAAATACTCCCCATACTTTCCAATGTAAATCCAAATATCATTAATGAACGATTTGATAACTTTATTCCGACCATCTAACGGCTTCAAGTAGCCCAGCACTCCTCTTAGCTCTACCTCAGTGGCAGTCAGCAGCAGAACACGAATATCTTTAACGATGTCTTTAACATGACCTTGAGATAGCTTTGTCTCATACTCCATTTCATCCAGTTCTGGAAATAATTCAGGAAGTGGGACTGGAGCAGGGACTGCATGTATAGAAAATAAATAATAATTCTAAATTGCATTTGCATTGCTATCATCTGTAATGCATTAATTCTTTCTCTCTTTCTCAATTCTTGTTTTGTACAACAATAATAACTAGAAGAATGTAAAACATTAAGGGGCTCCACCCCCTAGCTATGTAATCATATCATCATGATGATTAGGTAATTTAACTTTAATAATAGTTAGATGATCGGTCAGTCGCGGTATGCAATTACAAAAATTTTAATAATTACTATAGATAATTCACATGTCAAAATGTTAAAACAAAAATAAATACATTTAAAATTATGAACTACCTTTTTCTGCTCCTACAGCGCCTGTAACACCATCATCAGGAGTAGTAGAATCTGGTGCTGTATTGGCTTGTGTGGTATCATTAGAAACTGTGGAAGAATTTGGGAAAGAGTAAAAACAATTGGTTAAGACAATATAATTTTAATTTCATCAGGTAGCAGGTGTAATTGGTGTATTATTGGTACACTGAATCTCATACACATGAAATACATACAAATAAACAACAGCTGCTCGTTCAAAATATTGTCAGTGATGTGATAGTAGAATGTCTTTAAAGTTAATATTGACATTGTCAATAATGAATTTCGCAAATAGCTACATAAAAATGCAGTGTACCATTATAAAAGTTTATAATTATTGACATGTAAGTATATCTTTTATGTGAGCAATAACCATACACTATTATTCACAATGACTTCTCTAGGAGCATTAAAAGGTAGAGAGAACCTCTATAAGTCTTAATAATAAACCAGCTATTATTTTGTTTTATTTTCATTTCCTTTCTACTCTGTGTGTTTCTCTGATTTATGTGTTTAATTTATATTTTTAAAGCTTGAAAAATAAAAAAGAACAAAAGTTTACAGTCCAAAAAGAAACCCACTATACCTGATATAACTTTCTGATCAGTGTTAGCCTGAACTGGATCTGATGAGTCAGGGGAACCATTGGCATCATCCAAACCTCTTTCTATAATAAACAAATAAATAAATGTATAATAAACATAAATGAACAAATATGATAAAATAATAGTATGGGAGTGACTAAAATAACATGTAAAATAATTAAAAATTAAATGAAGAGAACGTAAAGATTACACTACCTTCAGTTAAGCTCTGAGTTTTATCAAACCAGCTCCAATGCTGCTCTTTCCCACTGTTAGTAGGTGATTTAGTGCCGGGCGAAGTGCATTCAACTTTCTTCTCATCTACATTTGTGACAATACGGTAGCAGCCTTCTGTAGAAGGACAGTGAAAGGCAAACTTATAACCATCAGGTTTTATTTTAATAGCTTCACAACTGCTACTAATAGCTTCTTTTACTGCTTTACGAATTCGCAGACAGTGTTCCAGATCATACTGCGCTTCAAAATAAATCTCAATGCATCTGTCTTTCTTAATGATATGAACAATGCCAATGTAATCCCTTTGACGGCGAACGCGAAACGACATAGCATCTCGATATCTGAAATATTCAGGGGATTTAGAAGCAAAACGAAATTGAAGTGGCTTGCTGCGCTTCATTAAATTGACAATTGTCAAAAAGAAAATTCCACGGGGAACAGGCAAAATCTCATACGAATCTTCAGGTTCACTTTCACGGCTGCACCAGACTATTTGCAATGGGTCAATATCTGATTTTGGAGCTGATCTGGTTTTAGGACAAGGCGGCAATGCAGAAGGAATGAAATATTTTTTTTCTTTACTTTCATCCTTTTTGTCTGTCTCAACAATGATGTGAAGGTGAAGCAAAAGCCCGATAAAATCAGACTCAGAAAAATCCTCACCACCTTTTAAATTTTTCAGAAATTTTAGAGTGAATAAGCCTCTACACTTAAGATCCCCTTCCAGCTCATTTAGCAAGCTTGTTTTCTTTACAAAGTGATCAAGATGGTCTTGCGGTATTTGATAAGTAGCTAGAGCCAATAGACGTGAGAGAATATCAAGAATAGGATGAGGATCAACGAATACAACATCTGGCAAAACTTGAGGATAATAAAGAATAATGGTAACATTGTGAAGAAATTGTAGAGCTTCCTTTGTTTGATCAGCATTCATTTGAAGGCTATCACCAGCATGTAAGACATCCTTTATCTCAAGGAAGCTGCAGCCTTTTCTCTTTGCTTTCTCTAGCAAAGTCAGCTCAAAAGCAAACCATCGAACAGGTATATGGATTTCATCCCCAGAAACTTGATTATATATTATTTTGCAAAGCTTTTTGGCTTCAGCTTCTCTGTCAGGGCCAGATTTAAGTGTATTGACTGGGTATATTATATTACCACCTAGTTCAGCAGGAATGATGAAATAGCCTTTTTTTCTAGACCCCAATTTTAATTCTTTCAGCTCATCGTTATATTTTTCAATGACTCCTGCCTTTTTTTGATCCTCGTGTGTACCTAAGACAAAATATCCTGGGCACCGAGGAGTTGTAGATCCAGTGCTGGTGTTCTCTTCTGATCCAATTGGTTGTTGTGCTTGGTAAGGCTGTAAAATAGCTCCAGAAGAGAGAACATCCTTTAAAAACTGAATATTTGTGCATGAAAAAGGCTTTGAATCACCTGTGCTATTTTTATCAATTTGACTCAATGATTCTCCATCGATTCGATATTTCTGCTCGAGCTTCTCATCGATATCTTTAGAAATGTCAAGTGTGATGATGTTAAAAGAAGCAGGTCTAGTAAACAAAGGCAATAGCTCTTGAAATGCTGTCTGACCACCGGAATCGATAAAGTATACCCAATGACGATCAAATTTACCTTTTGCATTTGGAATCTCCTTGACTATGTCACTAATTATTTTATTTGCTTCAGTATCGTCTGCTGGATCTCCTGTTTTTGTTGCCTCTCCTGATTCATCTGCTAGCTTTGCTGGTTCTGTTGTTGTAGTCTCTGAAGATTCCTCCATTGGTTTTGTGCTACGGTCTTCTGGTTGGGGTTTCTTTTGTTTTGCTGTGGCTTCCTTTAGATCATGTGCTAGCCTTAAAAGAAGAGCTTTAGCATCAATTTCTTCCATACGATCATCATGGGCTGACATTCTTGTAGCTTTGACAGCACGACAAGCTATTCCTGTGCTGTCAGTGACAGGTTCTTCAGGTGGATCCTCATTTAGTAAGAGACGCTGGGAACACGTTTTACCAGAGCCAGGGAGGCCATGCATGAGAACACGTTTGACATTTAGTTCAACTGTGCCTTCTTCTAACCATTCATTTACATTTACAGCATCTACATAAAAACAAAGAAAAAATGAGTTTTTAGGTACATAGTAGCCATTTTTAGTAGCCTGCAATAGTAAAATTATGTTTTTCATTTTTGAATTAAAATTCAAATTCTTAAAGCTAATTTCAAATCTAAATTTACTTAGTAGTTGGCTCAAAAGTCAGAAGTTAAGATATAACATTATTAGAATTGTTTATAAGTAAGATTGTGTTGTATTGTGTTAGTAATTGGTTACCTTGTGGTGGTGGGGTCAATGTAGGTCCATCAGTTTCCTCATCACTAGCACTTGCTTGAGCTTCTCCATCTAAAGAGGATAACATAAAGAGGTCAACGTCACTTTATGCCTAATTAATTAGCACTAATACTTATTAATATAGTATTACACTAATACTAGCTAATATTATTGTAGTAGCATTAGCACTGTTTGTGGTTTTATGAGTAGCAGCTATGCTGATAAAGATAAGTCAATAATGGTACTCAAGGTGTTGCTGCTGTATGGATTCTGCAACTGTATCTCCAACAATAAGGTTGTGTGTAAAGCTGAAAAACTTTTAAAGCTATACATTTTTACTAACTATATAATTAGGATTTCACAAAAATATCTTAGTTTTGTTATTAAGAACTCATGCAGTCATGAAAAAATTCATTAAATTTATGAAATTATCAGCAATCAAATATGTTATAATATATGTGTAT